CCCCCACTCTACCAAAAAAAGGAACCATTCTCGGACTCACTTTTCGGACCACCCTAATGCCCTCCCCCCCCAAGCTGACTCTAACATGCTAGACCATAAGCCCGAAACCATGAAGCCCTGTTTAGGGTTTAGGGTTTAGGGTTTAGGGTTTAGGGTTTAGGGTTTAGGGTTTGCTTAGGATTTGGGGTTTGGTGATTTATGCCCGCGGGGGGGGGGGGGGGGGGGGGGGGGGAGGGACCTGGGCATTTTGGCACGCTGGGGTTTAGGTTTTAGGGTTTAGGGTTTAGGGTTCCTGGAAGCCACCCACCCTCGCTTAAGCACCCCACAACAAAGCTCTAAGTGAGCTTGAACCCCAAAAACCCTAAACCCTCAACCCTGGGCCGAAGAGAGCTGAACCCCAACACCGCTAAACCCCCAAACCCTAAAGCCTAGGAACCCTAAACCCATAACCGCAAACCCAAAACCCAAAACCCTAAACCCTAAACCCTAAACCCTAAAGGAATCCTCCGCCAGCTCAAGCAACGAGGCCACGCCATCCGGAGACCAACGCCCGTTTGAGGGTTCAGGGCTTCTAAACCAAAGGGTTTAGGGTTTAGGGTTTAGGGTTTAGGGTTTAGGGTTTAGGGTTTAGGGTTTAGAGTTTCGGGCGTAGGGTTCAGGGAGGCAGCTTGGGTTCTCCAGGGCTTTGGGGTGTTTAGGGTTTGAGGATTTCAGGGTTTTAGGGTTGTAGGGGTTTAGGGTTTAAGGTTTGGGGGTTGAGGTTGCTAAACGTCTTTCTGGTTGTTCTTAGAGACTTCAGAGGACAGACCCTGAACCCTGAACATTCAGCCCTAAACTCTAAACCCTAAACCCAAAACCCGAAACCCTAGACCTATACTACGGCTTTAGACGTGCAAACTCATCGCGTGCTCATGGGCGTCCCACACAATTGCTTGGAGGTTCAGGGTACTTGTAACCCCAATCGGGGTTTAGGTTTTAGGCTTTAGAGTCTCTATAACCCCAATACTGACTGTACTTATCAGCTCCCCTAAGTCACTAAGTAGGTGGTAAGTAGACTTCGAATTGGGGTTCTAGGTACCCATGAACATCCAAAAGTATGCCTCCATCGTGCGCAACCCCAGTCACAAGAGCGGCCACTGAAAGGGGTAGAGAAGGGTACTGAAAAATATTGTCCAAGGACTACATAACGAACGGAATATAATGGAAGGCACCCACTCTGAACTGCCTAACCTGAATTCAGTAGAGGGTTGTGGGTTTACGGTTTGGGGTTTGGGGTTTAGGGTGTAGGGTCTAGGGTTTAGGTCTTCCTCCTACCGCTTCCCTTGTTGCGGCGTTGGTCCCCGGCAAGGATCTACCTCGACGAACAAACGTTTGCGGAGATTCCGTCTCAGACGCATCCACTACTGCACACAACTTGAAAACCTATACCCTAAACCCCCTTAACCCTAAACCCTAAACCCCCTAAACCCTAAACCCTAAACCCTAAATCTAGGTATACTCTCTGAAGCCCCATACAGACACAAAATCATTGAGCCAAAGGTTCTAGGGCGACTTCCGCGTCTGAGACCTGCTTTCTGAAACAATGATACATGTGCGCGCGATCGAGCCAGTAGACACTTCGGGGATCATGGCATGGGTTTAGGGTTTAGGGTTTAGGGTTTAGGGTTTAGGGTTTAGGGTTTAGGGTTTAGGGTTTAGGGTTTAGGGTTTAGGGTTTAGGGTTTAGGGTTTAGGGTTTAGGGTTTAGGGTTAGAGTTTAGGGTTTAGGGTTTAGGGGTATGGCCTTCTCAGCAACCCGCAAGAAGTCATAGAGCAATCGGAAGGCACCAGCAGACCCGGAGCAATCCTAAGAATAGGGCTGAATTCTGGGTTCCCACTCCTACTAATATCCCTGCGCAACATGAGGCCCAGATTGCACTTAGCTGAGGCGCTTGTCAGGGTTTAGGGTTTAGGGATTAGGGTTTAGGGTTTAGGGTTTAGGGCTCTTCTTTCAGCCTGGCATAAATCCGGCGGCGGCACTCACATCTGAGTCTTTGCCAGCAAGCTGCCACCGGGTACCACCGAAGGCTATGTGGGTAATTTCCCAAAAAAGGGGGTACACCCCCAAACATGTATATTCCTTGTTATAGGAGCTCCCAAAATAGATAGCCTAATGTAGAGAAACCCTTACAAAGCTGTCCTTCGCGCGGACTCCGATGCTATCTGCTGCCAAATGGAGCTCGGCCCCTGCGCACGCGTGTCAGGGATGCGCGCGCCGTAACCCAAAGGCTGTTTGAGTTATAAAGGCAAGTGGCCTCTTTATCTGTTACCCTGAGACCTTATCATAGCCCCTACCCGAATAAGAACCCCAATATATGCCCCTACGAAACAGAAACCCTGCTCCAAGAGACCACCAACCCACATAATGTTTGAGGGTTTAGGGCTCAGTGGAGGTGGTACGCCAAGGCTTCTCCCCCCTAAACCCCAAACCCTAAGACAGAGTGGCCATCGACCACACAAAGGCTTGCATCGAAAGACTAACCAAGGGCATTAAAGGGCTACGCTTTGTGTTTGCAACACGCCCCTCAACCCTAGGCCTGCCTAGGGCTCTTTCTGCACAACACTTTATCGGCTCTACTCACGCAAACCCTCACAAAATCCTGAATCTCAATATGTCGCCAAGTTGGCGAGCCCCGTGCCTTTGAGGGAAACATGGGGTTGGCCTAAATCACGGAGGTTCATGGGTACTAAGAACCCCAATAGCCAATAATCACAAGTCTACTTCTAACCTACTTAGGGGACTTCTGGGGGCCTCAACCCTAATAAACCATAAACCCTAAACCCTAAACCGTAAACCCTCAGATGAGAGTACAGCATGCTCCCTACAGCTTATAGGGTGCCAGAACTGCACCATGTGCTAAAAACTGCCCTCACGGAGCAGAGCCCCTGGAAAGCAGCGCAGGCAGCCCTTAGCCCTAAACCCCAAACCCTAAACTTTGCTGGGCCCTGCGGCGCCCATAAATGTTGCTGTTTCAAGGGCAGGGCTTCCTATTTTTTGCTTAGGGTTGAGGACCTAAAGCCCTGAAACACCGAAAACCCTAAAAGGATTTAGGGTTTAGGGTTTATAGGGTTTAGGGTTTAGAGGGCCCTCCACCCGACGTGATCGTACCCTAAAACCTGGTTCAACCCGCTACGGCGACAAACCCTCAAAATAAACCCTAAACCCTAAGCCCTAAACCCTAAACCCTAAACCGAGGGTCCCCGGCCGGCCTCGAAGCATTGCTGCTGAGGCTGGAATTTGCACGCTTGGGCGCCGCCTGCTTACTTTCTGTTTGGGGGCTCTCTTTCGTCTGAGGGGTTTGGGGTTTAGGGTTTAGGGTTTAGGGTTTGGGGGTTTAGGGGTTTAGGGTTTAGGGTTTAGGGTTTAGGGGTTTAGGGGTTTAGGGGTTTAGGGTTTTAGGGGTTTAGGGGTTTATAGGGGTTTAGGGCTAGGGGTTTAGGTGTTTAGGGGTTTGGGGTTCAGGGTTCGGGGGTTGGGAGGGTACTTAACCCTGAGCCCTGAACCCTTCAAAACCTCCTCACCCCGCCCTGTGTCCACTTCTCCCTGTGGCTTGGCTGTGGTGTTTTGGGATTGGGGTTTTAGGCTGGTTCAGATGTAGCCTTGCGTACGCTTCTAGGATAGGTTTAGGGTTTAGGGTTTAGGGTTTAGGGTTTAGGGTTTAGGGTTTAGGGTTTAGGGTTTAGGGTTTAGGGTTTAGGGTTTAGGGTTTAGGGCTTAGAGTTTAGGGTTTAGGGTTTAGGGTTTAGGGTTTAGGGTTTAGGGTGTAGGGTTTAGGGTTCAGGGCTTAGGGTTTAGGAGACGTGGGATTTCGGGATTTGGGGGGTACGGGGATAGGGCTTGAGGTTGAGGGTTTATGGCCCAACTCCGCCACTGTCGCTGTGACCCCTATATGCCACCCTGCTCTTTGTATTAAGGGGGTGCTGAGAATCCACTCCAGAGGCTTCTGGAGTTTCACATTTAGGGTTTTTTTGGGTTTCGAATTTAGGGTTTAGGGTTTAGCCCGCATGTCGGCGAGGAAGCTGCGGGCCCTCTGGATGCTCCACTTGACACTTTTCAGGATGCTATGCGGTTGAGGTTGGCCTACACTCCCTCTGAAAAACATTCAGGAACATGATCCTGGTTTAGGGTTTAGGGTTGAGGGGTTTCACCGATAAGGGGAATTACGAAAATGGGCCGACCCAGGATTAGGCTGGGGACTGCGGATGCTCGCCATTGGCTGGGACTTACTCTGGGTGCACGCAGTCAACACCCACCCACGGCAGAATGCTGGGGTGTAGGGTCTAGGGTCTAGGGTCTAGGGTCAGGGTTTAGGGTTTAGGGTTTAGGGTTTAGGGTTTAGGGTTTAGGGTTTAGGGTTTAGGGTTTCGGGTTTAGGGCTTGGCTTAGGGTTTATAGGGTTTAGGGCCTGACCCCGCGTGCGCGGGAAGATGTAGCTTGGACGCAAATTGGGTCTGAAACTTCGAAGAGCATCTGCAAAGCCTCGCCACGTCTTATCAGGTCTAACCGAGGCTTACAAATAGCAAGCACTAAACCCTACACCCTAAACCCTAAACGTGAAACCCTAAACCCTAAACCCTAAACCCTAAACCCTAAACCCCAAACCCCAAACCCCAAACCCCAAACCCCTTTGTGGCTGTCCACAAGACTGGGGCATGGCTTTCCGACTTTTTCCGCGCAAAGAAACTCCGCTACAAACACATCAGAACATTGACACCTTGGTAGCCCATAGGGTTTAGGGTTTAGGGTTTAGGGTTTATGGTTTAGGGTTTAGGGTTTAGGGCACCTTTTTTTGGGTTGCTTACTTTAGGAGCGAACCCTGAACCAAAGAAAGGGGAAAGGGTACCACTGGGCTACCAAGACACCCCACTATGTACACAAGCCCAAGCCACAGCACTGGGCCACCAAGACACCCCCCCGATGTACTGATGTACACAAGCCCAAGCCAAGAACGCCACTGGGCTCAGGGTACTGCATATCCCAGTCGCTCCTGGAAGGAGCGGTAACGTGACAAGAGCTCTGGGGGCAGCGAGGGCACGTACTTGCGCACTTGGTCCTCGCATTCTTGGTCATTCCCGTGATTTCCGACGGCCGGGTGACGATGCAGATCTGCCGACTGCGTCGCGTTGAGGACCTGGCTGCGCTGTGCGGGAGTAATAAGGTCCTGGAACAAGAAGCTGGTCATCTCTCCAACCTGCTGGTCGAAACCCACAGAAGAACTGGTGACCTTCTCGTAGACGAGGTGGAAAGTATCATTGGAGGGCAACTCAAAGGCGCTGGTCATGTTTGCAACTAGTGGCAGCATCCGCTCTGCAACAAACTTGAGCCCTTCCTTGGGACCCATGAGCTGCAATATAAGTTCGGGCAAGAACATGAGGTTATAGAGCTCTTCGCCCCGATGGTGGTAGCAGTATGCTGAGACGATCATGGACACCGGATCCCGCACGATTCCCACGACGCGCATGCCTTTTGCGCCGGCAGCTTCCCTCGCCTCCTGCGCCCTTTCGTATGAATAGAGGTCCATCCAGAACTGGATCGGAGCCTCTGGTGAGACACATTCGCCAGGATAACAAGGCTGACTCCACACCCCCATGTCGCTCTCCGCCGCCCCAAGAGCCCTGAAGATTGATGTCTTTAGATCACCCATCAAGAATACACCCGCCTTGTGATGAGCGACAAAGATGTATTTGTGCATGAGCCAGGGCTGTGAAGGTACACTTTGAACTGCTGAAAGCGTGGGTGGTGGAGCGACTCGTGGCAGAACCTTCCTTTGGACGAAGTTCAGTGCATGGGACTCCTCGGTGATGGCGGCACGGGTCCAGGCTGAATAGGGAAGAAGCCAGGGCAATAGCCACCGTGCAGCGGTCTGCATGGCAGCATCATCGGAAACGCATCAGTCGAATGCGAATTCAGGCTAGCAGCAGGGTTGTCTGAGCCTGAAAGACAGCCCACACCAGAGAAGAGATCCTCCAAGCAACTACGACGCGCTAAACGTGTGAAAGCACCATAAGTCTACCAACCTTTCTCGACTTCCTTCCTTATTACAAACGTGTGTTGTTCAACTGCTCTCAACAGGGTTTAGGGTTTAGGGTTTAGGGTTTAGGGCAGATGGGAGGGAAGATCGGAGCAAGCTTACAGTCGAAGCGTTCCCTGCTTCTAAGAGCGAAGCGGCGCGACTACCAGTACCATGTTGCTGAGGGTTTAGGGTTTAGGGTTTCGGGTGAGGGGGGTCTTTCGTGGAGGTAGAAACAGCAAAAATGCAAATGCTTCGTGTATGTGCAGATAGCCTGCTCTAACTAGTTGCTTCGTAGAGCAGTAGCCATATCATAGCAAGGGCAGCCTTTTTTCGGGTTGGTTACTTTATAAGGGAGCCTTGAATCCCGAAAAAGGGAAAAAGGCTACCACTGGGCTACCAAGATTAGAGCTAAGCTACATGGCACACCAGTTCCAGGACCCGTCATGGTACTTGTTAACCAGTTATAACTGTACTTATAACTGCACTTTTCTCTGTACGTACAACCATATCAGGGCACTTAAGGGGCTTCTAAGTGGGTTATAAGTACAGTTAAATATTTATATAATTGGTTGACGAGTACCCTAAACCTCCAAGTAGGGGCCGCATATAGTAAGGAACCCGACAGGGACCATAATTGTACAGAAGTGACCATGTAGTGGCTTTGTTGCATTTAGTCTTATTCTTTTAATGTGTGTGTTTCTTTTTTTCCAATGCTTTCTGGGTTTAGGGTTCAGGGTTTAGGGGCTTCCTGGATTTACTCCTAGCCAGCGAACCCCACACCCCTTAATTGAAGAACATACCACTAAGGGGTATACCCGAAACCCCAAACCCCAAACCCCAAACCCTAAACCCTACACCCTAAACCCTAAACCCTTTATTGGGTTGTCCTTGATTCTTCCCGCGTCAAGCCGATGCAAGCAAACCATGGTCTCAGCCTGGACCCCTGGTTAAAGCCCTAAACCCTAACCCCTAAACCCTAAGCCCTAAACCCTAAGCCCTCAACCCTAAAACCCTAAAACCCTAAAACCCTAAAACCCTAAAACCCTAAAACCCTAAAACCCTAAAACCCTAAAACCCTAAAACCCTAAACCCTAAACCCTAAACCCTAAAACCCTAAAACTCGGCGTGCAGGCCTTCGGGGAGCCCGCCTTGGAAGGTGGGCTGACAGAGCCGGAGGGCGTCTTGGCCTTGGGGCCAGGGCTTCTTAGTAGCCCTAAACCCTAAACCCTAAACCCTAAACCCAAGACCCTTCTTTGGGTTGGTTACTTTATGAGGGAACCCAGAACCAAAAGAAAGGACAAAGGGTACCACTGGGCTACCAATACTTCTTTAGGGTTTAGGGTTTAGGGTTTAGGGTTTAGGGTTTAGGGGTTCTATGGGGTGTAGGGTTTGGGGGTCCTACAGGGTTTAGGGTTTAGGGTTTGGGGGTTCTGTAGGGTTTAGGGTTTAGGGGTTGTGTAGGGTTTAGGGTTTAGGGTTTTGGGGTTTTAGGGTTCAGGGTTTTGGGGTTCTGTAGGGTTTAGGGTTTAGGGGTTCTGTAGGGTTTAGGGTTTAGGGTTTGGGGTTTTAGGGTCCAGGGTTTTGGGGTTCTGCACGGTTTAGGGTTTTGGGGTTTTAGGGTTCAGGGTTTTGGGGTTCTGTAGGGTTTCTACAGGGTTTAGGGTTTAGGGTTTATGGGTTTTAGGGTTTAGGGTTTTGGGGTTCCGGGGCTCTAAGTTTTAGAGTTTTGGGGCTTAGGGCTTTAGGACAAGGGTTCTGTGTGGGGCCCTATTCACCTACGGCTTAGTGGTAAGTACCCCTTTTCTAGTAGGTATAACCCTTAAACTGTAGGTAAATAGGGTCCCAGCCAATGTTTCTAGGGATTGGGGTTTAGGGTTTAGGGTTTAGGGTTTAGGGTTTAGGGCTTAGGGTTTAGGGTTTAGGGTTTAGGGTTTGTCGGGTTCTATGGTTTTAGGGTTCGAGGGTTTAGGGCTTAGCGTTTTAGGATTCCAGGGGTCTAGGGTTTAGGGCGTAAGGGTTTTGGGGTTTAGGGCTTTAGGGTTTAGGGTTCAGGGATTTAGGGTTTAGGGTTTTACGGGTTTAGGGTTTTAGGGTTTACGCTTCTAGGGCTCTGGGGGTTAAGGTTTAGAGCTTAGGGTTTAGGGGCTTCGGTTTCGAGGGTTCTGGGGCTTAGAGCTCGAACGGTTGCTTGGCCTCTGGGTCAAGAGTTATAATTACGGGCTTGTAGCTCTATAGGGTCCTAGAGGTTTAGGGTTCCACCTGCTGCCTCCATTTACCTTTAGCTAAGTAGCAATTACACCTAAAATTCGGGTGTGTTTTGCGGAGTTGAGGGTTTAGGGGTTAGAGCTCCAAGGTTTCTGGGGTTGTGGAGTTTAGGGTTCGGGGTGACCCGTTCCCCGGATTCACACGACCTCCTTTTCCTTGCCCAGATGCGGGGTTACGAACATGGGGAGACTCTTTTACAGGCTCCAAAAGGGTTTAGGGCTTAGGGTTGATACATTATAGACTCCAAAATGCTATAGTCCAAATATTGTGGGAAACCCAAATTGGGTAGACTCCCATATATTTGCTTCTCCAAGAACCAAACAGTCAAAGGCTTAAATTACCAGATCTTTTCATCCTAAACCCAAAACCTTAAACCCTAAACGCTAAACCCTTAACCCTAAACCCTAAACTCTAAACCCTCCCTGAAAACCTGCCACCCCAGAAGAAGGGCCAACCAACGGGATACTCGGGCCCACGGGCTTGGCGCATGCTTCGTAAAATGGCCTAGGGTTTAGGGTTTAGAGTTTAGAGCTTAGGGTTTAAATTGGCAACTTTAGAGCTTAAGGTTTTAAGTGCCAGTGCGATCCCATGATCCCCCTGGATTCATCGGGGTTCTGGGGTTTGGGGTTTAGGGTTTAGGGTTTGGGGTCTGAGGTCTAGGAACTCAGTAGCCATAGGCTTCAAAGAGGCTGTCGCCCTACACTCAGTCCCTGGCCTGGTTCTTGAGGATTACAGACCGCTGCGCCGGCACTTTCCGCGAAGACCTGGGACACTGCACTCAAACCCTAAACCCTAAACCCTAAACCCTAAACCTGGAACCACTCGTCAAGGCGCCCTCGTACGTAGAATCTGCGCTTCTGCCTAGAGGCTCCAGTGTGGCTCTCGGGCAAAACCCCAAAGCCTTACTAAACGCGAAATGCCCCAAGGGCTTCTTGGGGTTTAGGGCTTAGCTTAGGGTAACCTAAAGCCTCATGAAAACTACTGTAGATCTCATATAGTCCCTATATACCTCGGCAACCCCTGAATATCCCCTACATGGCCCCTAAGGTCCCTCAACAAGTGTCACTCCTTTAGTCCCTTGAAGCCTGGCTAAGGGCTTCTGGAGTTTCTAGGGTTCATGCGGTTTCTAGGCTTTCCTGGGTTTAGAGGGACTACAGGCTTTATACTGTAGGGCGTACAGGGTTTATGGGGTGTGAAGGGTTTGTAGGGTTTCTTGGGTTTTCGTGCTACACAATCCTAAGCCCTAAACCCTAACCCTAAACCCCAAACCCTAAACCCTAAACCGTAAGCCCTAAACCCTAAACATACTGACACACAGGTTTTGTACTCAAAGGGCCCAGGTAAACGCGAAACCCAACACCCAAGCCCATCTGGATCTCCGGGTTTGGAGTTTAGGGTCAGTGTCTTTAGGGCCTTTAGGGCCTTTAGGGTTTAGGATCTAGGGTTTAGGGTTTAGGTTTAAGGTTTAGGGCTTTGGGTTTGCGACAAGCATCTTCCGAATGACCTCAGGGAGTTTGAGTGGTTCAGGGTGTCGGGGAAGCCCTGGCTCACCTTAAGCCCGACGCCCCGTGAAGCCCTAAATCGTACACCGCAGAACTAATGTTTGCTTGTGAACTCCCCAAAAGATGAAGATATTCTTCCCTACAAGGGTAATCAGGGGACTATTCTTCTCTTGAATTTGTTGGGGGTTCTTGAGCAAATAGTAGAGAACCTAAACCCCAAAAACCCTTCAAGACCTAAGCACCGACCTCAACCCTGGCAAGTACCCCGCTAAGATACCCTTCAGTGGGGCCTGAGGTAACTTAGGGTTTAGGGGTTTGGGCTGTAGGGCTTTAGGGATCAGGACCAGGACCCTTGAGGGTTTACAACTGCAAGGTGAATGGAAAACACCAGGCAGGGTTGAGGGCTGAGCGTTTGAGATTTTAGAATACGGTAAGCTCAGCATACGCAGCTGAACCTCCCCCCTCCCACACACACACCATTCAAGGGCTCAACTTTTTGTACTGCTCACGGTGATGCAGAACACGTGCTTGAAGGCTAGCGTGGAGAGTGCTACGAAGGTGGCTGTCCCCCTGTACCAGACAGCGTATGAGGGTTGCGTCTGAAAGTTGAACCAAAACCAAATCCACCCCACTCTGCGTCCACGGAAGGCGAGCATGCGTTTAAAAGGACTTACGAGCGCAGCGAGGGACATGAGACAAAACGACTCGGGCCTTGCTGCTGCTGTTCTTCCTAAACCCTAAACCCTAAACCCTAAATCCTAAACCCTAAACCCTAAACCCTAGCTGATTCTGGTTGGTGGAACGAGGGACTTCATGTAAGCACGCATCAGCTCCTGAACCCTCAACCTTAATTCAAGTCTGCAAGCTCAAGACTAAACCCAACACCTTGGACCTTAAAGCCTCAACCCTAACCCCTAAACCCTAAACTTCCCTAGACACTGAAAGACTAAGCCGCGCCCGAACCCCTCATGGGCCTGGGCTTCTCAAGGTCTCTGGCTCAGAGCTCACATCTTCGTCTTCGAAACCCCCCCCCAAAAAAAAATGAATAAAAATATAATAATAATTATTATAAATAAATAAACTAAACCCTAAGCCCTAAAAACCCTCAACCGGTGTATAGGGTTTAGGGCTATGCCATACCCGGAGCCCGAAAAAGCTGCTCTAGCCTTCCCCAAGGGTCCCAGAACCTCTTCACCCCTCACGCCTGGGCCCTTAGCCAGCAGGAGCACAGACTAGGGTTGGGGTTTAGGGTTTAGGGTTTATGGTTTGGGGTTTAGGGTTTAGGGCTTAGGGTTTCGGGCTTAGGGTGTAGGGCCTCTACCGCCAACACGACGTGGGTTTAGGGTTGAGGGCTTTGCTTCGCTGAAACGTAAACCCTAAACCCTAAACCCTAAACCCTAAACCCTGAACCCTAAACCCTAAATCCATTTTTGAGCGCTTGGGGTTCTCGAAGGAGTGGACGATTTGAGCTTGGGGATGTCTCTCGCATGTCGGCTCCAGGAAAATCGAGCGGCAACACGGACAGTGAGAGCCGCCAGCCTTCAGAAGGCCTAACGCTCGCAGTCCCAAATTATAAAACTAGTTCAGCCCCCCGCAAATTAATCCCTAAACCCTAAACCCTAAACCCTAAACCCTAAACCCTAAACCCTAAACCCTAAACCCTAAACCCTAAACCCTAAACCCTAACATGCCATATCAGAGCCAGCTCTGTGCAGGCCGAGTTTGCCGGGGTTGGTCCACCGATGTCTTTGACACCGACCGGATTCTAAGCCCGTCAGCGTGGAGGTTCATGCTACGTATTAACCAATTAGAACTCTACTTATAAGGAGTTTAGGGTTTAGGGTTTAGGGTTTAGGGTTTAGGGTTTAAGGTTCAGGGTACCTGTACTTATAACTGTACATATAACCATATTAGGGCACTTAAGGGGCTTCTATGTGGGTTCTACGTACAGTTGCAGTTGGTGCAGAATTCCCATGAACCTCCAAGAGGAACCCCTCCCATAGCATCAGGAGACCACCAGCCTGGGCGCCTGGCTTGGCTGCTGTCTGTGCCCCCGAAGCTCTGAAGGCCCTGAAGGCCCTAATTAGAGAGGCTCAGGGTGTACCCTAAACCCTAAACCCTAAACCCTAAACCCTAAACCCTAAACCCTAAACTACTGAAGGCCCTAATTAGAGAGGCTCAGGGGTGTGTGTTGGGGTATGGAGGTGTTCCGGGGCACCGCTTCTTCCCCAAAGAGCTCAACGACCCTCAATGAAAGAATATACTTTAAGTCATATGCATATTCCTTAAGGCTGAGATGCGGGAGTCATCCGAAGCACCTACAAAAGATTGAGTAATCTTCTGTAACCCAAAACCCAAAACCCTAAACCCAAACCCGAAGCGAGAAAAAATCGCGCGTGCCTCTTCACCCGAGCTCCTGGGGCAACAGAGAGGTGATGCGACTCTCAGAAGCTACGCAGGCTTTAGGGTTGTTGGGGTTTAGGGTGTAGGGTTTTTCGGGTTGAGGGTTTAGGGCTCAGGGGTCAAAAAACTCAGGAGCCGTCGAGCGCTTAGCAGGGAGTTGGGTGGCCGTGGGGTGGGCATGTCTTCACACTATCGCGTTGAGCTGACAAGTGCGACACCCTAAACCCTAAACCCTCAAAACCCTAAACTCCCCCTTAAGAACCCTACAAATAAACTGTAATCTCAAGCCCTCCTGCGGCCCAAGTGGTCGCGCGAGACGAGAGTCTTCGGTGGTTCAAGGCTTCGATCTGGATGCCCCTAAACCCTAAACCCTAAACCCTAAACCCTAAACCCTACACCCTAAACCCTGAAAGTGCATAAAACCCCAAAGCCCTGAACCCCGAAACTTTACAACCCTGAGGCCTTGAACTCTCAAGCTTGAAACTCTCAAGCCCTAAACTCCGAAACTTTTAGGGGCCGGGCGCCCCGAAGCCAACCCCATACCCCAAACCCTGATGTTCAGGAAACGCCAGTAAACCGGGTGTTGGTACAGGAACGTTTTTCGGCCGAGGTTTTGGCCCAAAGGTTTGCTTCATCAACGGTTTCCATTATGTTAGGTTGTTGTAGAGCCTGCTATCCCATGTTTCGGTGGATGAGAATAAACCCAAAAGGGGTGTAAGTACTGGAAGGTTTTCCGGGAGAATTTCCCAAATATGATTTTTCGAGCGAACTCCTGTTCAGGCCCAGAGGAGGCTGACCCAGAAGAGGCCCAGAAGAGGCCCGGCGGGTTTAGGGTTTAGGGTTTATAGGGTTTAGGATTTAGGGTTTAGGGTTGGCCCAGAAGAGGCAGAGAAGAGGCCAGGTCCCCGAGGTTTTGATTACCACCTGCTTTCCCCAAAACTCGAGTTTTGACCCAGCGCCGGAACAAATCCTGAGAGGGGGGGGGGGGGATTAAAGCGACCCTAATATGAAACCCTGAGCCCTGAACTCAAAACCCTGTAATGTTGCACCTGCTTTAGTATCGGCCCCCTCTTTAAAGACAAACTGGCTGAATTATTCAGGACACCCTGACTGTTTGGGAGCCCCTCTTTAAAGACAAAACGTCCGGGCGCCGTAAGAAAATTCCACGTGCCGCGCCTTAAAAAAGATAGCCGGGCATCGCTGCCCCTTTTGAACTTATCTAAGCTCCTCCCTATTAAAATCATATGAACCCCCGGGGCCGTGTAATCAGGATCCCATCCGCGCCTCGACTGTCCAGGGGGGGGGGGGGGGGGGGCCCCCACACTAAAGGAGGTGCCAGATTACCCTGAACCCTAAACCCTAGAGGAGCAACCCGGAAATTTTTAAACCCCCAAGCACCCTAAACCCTAAACGCTACTTCCTAAACCCTAAACCCGAAACCCGAAACCCTAAACCCTAAACCCCAGAGCGCCGAGGCGTCGGCGGGTCGCGAGCCGATCGGTCGTCCCAGTCGAGCAGATCCTCCTCTTCAGGGCCAATGTTGCAGTGGAGTTCCAAGGGCGGGTACCTTCTAGAAGGCTTCAGAAGCCCTAAACCCTAGGCCCTAAACCCTAGACCCTAAACCCTAAATCCTAAACCCTAAACCCTAAACCAAGACCTTGCAAAAGGAACCCCAAAAAGGGTCCCCATTTTACAGAACTACCCATTTGGCAAGTTGACCACCGGGAGCCTAAACCCTAAACCCTAAACCCTAAACCCTAAACCCTAAACCCTAAACCCCAAACCCCAAACCCTAAACCCTAAACCCTAATTACTTCTGAGCTAGGCGCGACTGGTTTAGGGTTTCGGGCTCAGGGTTGAGGACTTTCTTGATCGAACTCCGCCAGCTCTCGCATGACTGCCCCAGTGTTGCTGTCGAACACCGGGTTTAGGGTTTAGGGTTTAGGGTTTAGGGTTTAGGGTTTAGGGTTTAGGGTTTAGGGTTTAGGGATATTCTTCACCTTCTTCGGGATTCCAACTTGTCTAGCGCGGCATGCAGCTATACTCCCCTTAGTACCTGAATGAAAACAATAGTTTGAATATCCTCTTGGGTTTTATATAGACAAAAATAGAAGAAATAATTCCAAAGTCTGCAGCTCAATGGCCATCTGCTCTCCTGACGAGGGCATGGGCCTGGACGTAGGCCGACCAATCTCCCTCGCCCAGTGACTCCAGTCTACGCAACACGGACTCCCAGGGCAAATGAAACCGTACGTGGATTCACAGAATGCGCCGTGCAACCATACTGGCCACGAACTTTTTGATCTCTCCAGATCGTCGACACACTGCAGCCAGTTGATGCCGCAAGCACCTTCGGAATCAAAGCTGCTGGAAGCAGGTCGACGTGGCGAGTCGTGCTGCGTCAGCGCCGTCCCAGTGGATCCTTGCAGGCAGGCTTCACCATAAGGACAAGAAATCACCGTACCCCTCCACAAACTGCTGCCTCCTGCACAACAATGCCCAGGTCTATACGAAGCAACCAACAAACCACGGCCCCGCACCCGACTAAATGTACCCTAATCTTGGGGCATTCCCCTTATACTAACAGTCCTTCATAGGGATTCTAGTAGGGGGTACCATTATCCGATAGAATCCCTATTAAGGACTGCTAATATAAGATGGAACATCCCAACCCTAAACCCCAAACCATAAGATTCTATAACCTCAACCCCAGCTCAGGCTTATCGGCGTGTCATGCTCTAGTCCTACCTCCCCAATTCCCGAACCCCAATAAACCCTAAACCCTAAACCCTAAACCCTAAACCCTAAACCTTAAACCCCAAACCCTAAACCCTAAACCCTAAACCCTAAACCCAAAACCCAAAACCCTAAACCCTAAACCCTGAACCCTAACCGGGGCCTCCCTCTCCAAGTGGTCTGGGAAGCGGCGCATGCGGGCGCGGCCGGTGAAAATCTGCAGAACCTCCACGTGGGCGGTTTAGGGTTCTGGGTTTAGGGTCAAGTTTAGGGCTGAAGGTTTAGTAGCCCAAGACCCTACTTGGAGGTTCATGGGTAGTCATAAGTAGGGTTATAAGTACAGCTGCCACACTCATAGCAACCCTACTTATAACTGCCCATGAACCTCCAAGTAAGCCATGTGCTTTGGGCGGTAGAATTCCAGGGGCCTGTGGCTTCTCCGAAGCCCCTGAACCCTAAACCCTAGACCCTAAATCCTAAACCCTGAACCCTAAACCCTAAACTCTAAACCGCGTGTGTGCGCGTGTGCCTAAGCCCTAAACCCTGGCCCCCGAACCCTAAAAAGAGGGTCTTGAAAAGAGATGAACTACTCGGGCTCAGGTCTTAGAGGGCTCCGGGATGAACTTTCCACTCTGGGGCTTCCGGTTAAATAACGTGGTCCATTGACCCCCCCCCCCACCCCCACAGAAAAACATACGGGGCATACAAACCCTAAACACTAACTCCCCTAACTCCCCTAACTCCCCTAAACCCTGATTGTACCCCAACTCCCCCTAAACCTTTCTCCCCCCCAGATGTCCAGAACCTTGCAGCCAAACACGGTCCTAACTTTCATTTCAGCAGGGGCTTGAAAATACAGGGGCCTTAATAATTGGAATGGGGATTGGGGCAAATATAGTAGAAATATGCATAAACTGCATAAATAACTAGGGACCACAATAACTAGGGACCACACAAGGGAAGACAATTGGCAATTACTCCGACCCCTATATCAATACGTTTAAGGGCTTGAGGGCTTCAATGGCTTCAGGGATTTAAGGGCCTTAAAGCCACTGCCCTTATAACTAGGCTGCCCAGTAACCTAGGCTTAAACAGGGTGCCCTTTTTTGCTTAAAGGGGTTTATAAGGGAACCTAAACCCCCAAAAAAGGAAATAAGGGTACTACTGGGCATCCTAGATAAGGGGCAAGGACTTGTTCTGGACTTTGGGTCTCAGGGTTGAGGGTTGCGTGGGTTGCTTCTAGGCCTTAGAGTTCTAGAGGGCCCCCCCCCCCCCCCTACTACTCGAACTACAGTTCAGGGACTTATAGCCCTAAACCCTAAACCCTAAACCCTAAACCTAAACCCTAAACCCTAAACCCTAAACCCTAAACCCTAAACCCTAAACCCTAAACCCTAAACCCTAAACCCTAAACCCTAAACCCTAAACCCTAAACCCTAAACCCTAATCCCTACACCCTAAACCCTAAACCCTAAACCCTAAACCCTAAACCCTAAACCCTAAACCCTAAACCCTAAACCCTAAACCCTAAACCCTAAACCCTAAACCCTAAACCCTAAACCCTAAACTAACCTAAGTTAGGATGCTTATAAACCCGGTTTCGCGAGGTTTCGCGCCCTTACAACTCAAGTGGGGGAAGCGCAAAGCGCAGCGTGGCTTTTGGTGGGAGACTGTCGGGTCGAAGGTTTGCTTAGGGTTTAGGGTTTAGGGTTTAGGGTCTAGGGTCTAGGGTCTAGGGTTTAGGGTTTAGGGTTTGGGGCTTAGGGCCAAAGGCTCAGGGTGTAGGGTTTTGGATTTGGGGCTGGAGGGCTTAGGGCTTGCAGGGTTTAGGGCTTAGGGTCTAGGGGTCAGCGCCGTGTCCAGAATCAGGTCGGTCTGAGGGTAATCCTCGTGCAAGTGCTTGCCCGACGCACTTTTGTAGGCCAACCAGGCCAGGTGCATGTCGGCACGTCCTCCTTTGGCAGCGCGTAGGTCTTTGCAGAAGTGGAGCTGCCATACCGAACTTTCAGAAGCTGGCACCATAAAAACCAGCCATTTTGCCTGCAAAACCACGAAAAACGAGCGTCGCAGTGCACACCACCCGCCAACCCGGCAACACCAAGCCACGCACAAAGAAAACAAATGACCTCTTCACATACATCTTATCCCCTGCGTCCAATTTGGCAGCGAGCACCAGTACTCCCTGCTCGCCGTGGAAGCTCAACTCCTTCAGCCCGCCTTTAGGGCTGGAGGGCTTAGGGCTTACAGGGTACAGGGTACAGGGTACAGGGTTTAGGGTTTAGGGTTCAGGGGCCCCTTAAACCAAATCCCTATGGCCGGCATTTCAAAGTGATGACGAACAGTTTATGTAGGTGTTTATGCATGGATATCGAACGGCCAGAAACTGCAGCGCCATACGGCGTGCAAGCATCAAACCTCCAGGCTCTACAACACTAAAACAAACACCTCACCAGAAACCCTAAACTCTAAACCCTAAACCCTAAACCCCAAACCTTAAAGCCTAAACCATAAACCTCAAACCGCCAACGCTCCGGCGCCGGTTGGCTTCACAGGAGAACAGCCGTCTGCAAAAAGCCTAAACCCTAAACCCTAAACCCTGAACCCTAAACCCTAAACCTTGAACTCTGAACCCCAAACCCTAAACCCTAAACCCTAAACCCTAAACCTAAACCCTAAACCCTAAACCCTAAACCCCTAAAGTATACAGGTTGTGCCCGTTGTCCGGGCCGAGTGTCCAGAAATCATAGCTCTGTAGGCCTGTTTTGGGGTAAGCCCTGAAGCCCCAAGCCCTAAACCCTAAACCCTAAACCCTAAACCCCGAACCCTAAACCCTAAACCCTACACCCTAAACCCCACGCATCAAGCCGAAACCTGAATGCCCTGCCTTGGCCATCCGCGCGAAGATGTTCTCCTGAATGTAGGGAACCTGGATTGCGAACGAAGGCCCTAAACCCTAAACCTTAAACCCTAAACCCTAAAGCCTAAACCCTAAGCGCTGCTTAGGGCATAGGGTTAAGGCTTCATCCGCTCCCCCGAATAAGTCCCCCCTCCTCGGCAGAGCTTTTCTCTTCCCAGCGCTGACAGTCCTGTGTTTCTTCTTCCTCCTACCCCTTCCCCCGGCCAGAGGGGGCTTTCAATTTAGGCTCCTCCTTTGGACCTCCAAATATAGGAGAATCTCCTTCAAACGGATCCAAACGTGCTTAAGAGTTTAGGGCTTCCGGTTGTCCTATTCTCGGACACCTTCCTGCCATTGGCCTAAAAGTCTGTGGTCGCGCGGAGCGGGACACTGATTCAACATCCAGTGTCCACCCAAACCACTCTGCGAACCACGATAGTCATGCCGAATCATGCCTACAGAAGGGTTCACCCTGCTGTACTTTTGCAACCCAAGTCACAAATACAACTAGACATAACTATGGGGGACCCCCCAGCATTACTGTCCCCCCCCCCCCCCCCCGGTAACCAAAACCAATGCCTTCCACTTCCCTTCCAAAACACTAGGTCCCTGAAGGCTAGACCGTAACTCTTCATCTTCTTGAAGACTGAACCTCGGGATGTTCTCCCTAATACTACCTTAATACGGAGTATAGTACCCCCCTATCATAATCCCCATTACCGACTGTTAGTATAAGCAGGAACATGACAACCCTAAACCTCAAACCCAAAACCCTAGACACTACTCACGCAATCCTCTTCCGCCTGCCTGGGCCCCGGGTTGAGGGTTTAGGGTTTAGGATTTGAAACAAAAAAAGTTAGGGTTTAGGATTTGAAACAAAAAAGGAAAAGGGTGCCACTGAACCCCAAAACCCTAAACTCCAAGCCCGAAGCAGCCTAAACCCTAGACCCTTGGCCAGGGTACCCCATGCTTCTCGCAGATGGCCTTCACTTGCCTTGGTGCACGCAACCCTAAGCCCTAAACCCTAAAGCCTAAACCCTAAACCACAAACCCGAAACCCTAAACCCTAAACCCTAAACCCTAAACCCTTCGAGGCTTACTTCGGGGAAGGGGGCCTTGCCCCAAAACCCCACACCATGCTTTCCTTCGCTGCTCAAGGGCTGCTGGCTTGGTCTTGAGGATAAGGGTTTAGGGTTTAGGGTTTAGGGTTTAGGACAAGGGTTTAGGGCTTGTCAAAGAGAAAGCGGGGAGGGTCTTGAATGCAGATTTCAGAATGACATGAGCAGAGGGTCTACGCCCCCAGAATCTTCGAGAAACAGGAGAGCTATGCTGGCAAGCAAAACGCACTCATAAAAACGAGCTTTTGGCTCATTCCAAGGCATCCATGAACTTTCAGAAGTGATTGTGCTGCCTTTAACCCTCAAACTCAAACGAAAAAGCTGCTTCACCCTAAACCCTAAACACTTCAACCTTACACCTGAACCCTAAACCCTAAACTATGAAAACCTGAAATCCTACACCCAAAACCCTAAGCCCCTGAAGCCTTAAACCCTTAAACCCTTAAACTTGAATCTCAAAATCAACACCCCGGGCTCAGTGCCGCCAAGACTCGGCTGTGCCTTCTGGTAGGACAGCATGGAGAGGTCCGGCCTGTGGTTTAGGGTTTAGGGTTTAGGGGTTAGGGTTTAGTGTTTAGTGTTTGGGGTTTAGGATTTAGGGTTCAGGGTTAAGGATTTTCGCAGCTTAGGGTGCAGGGATTTAGGATTTCGGGTTTAGGGGGTAGGGATCATGAGGTTTGGTGTGACGCCTCCAGTTTTAGGGTGCGAGCTTAAAGCAACCGAAAAACTCTTTATGTGCTGACTCTCTTAACTAAACCCTGAGCCCCAAAAACCCGATAATCTCAGCCCTAACTCTGCAAATCCTATACCCTAAACCAAGGCTCACAGGATTTAGGGTTTAAGGTTCAGGGTTGATCCTCAGCCCTAGAAGGACTCTGGGTCTTTACGGTTTAGGCTTTAGGGCTTTTGGGGAACCTTAACCCTCTTAGGATAGGCTCCGCCCAGGCTTCGGTCTTGAAGTCAGCAAATGGTTTAGGGTTTAGGGTTCAGGGTTTAGGATTTAGGGCTTAGGGTTTAGGGTTTAGCGGCTCTTGGCACCCCTGCCAGAGGTGGTGCTCAATCTGGTAGTTCAGGTATCCATGCCTGTGGTGTGGGGTTGAGGGAGGTGAGGGCCCTAAACCCTAAACCCTAAACCCTAAACCCTAAACCCTAAACCCTAAAGCCTAAAGCCTAAAGCCTAAAGCCTAAAGCCTAAAGCCTAAAGACTAACACCTAACCCTAAACCCTAAACCCTAGCAGGCCCTAAGCCCCACTATAGCCTCTTAAGACTCTGAACCCTACGTTTACTGTTGAGGGTCAGGGCTTGCTGGAGGTGTCGTGCAGCTCCTGAAGAGCAGTAGTGACATCACCCATGGCCATTGCTATATCAGAACCCTAAACCCTGGGCCCTAAGCCAAAACCCTTGAACCCTATATCCCAAAACCCTAAACCCTAGCCCAAAACCCTAAACCCTAAACCCTAGCCCCAAACCCTAAATGCTGGTGTAGTGCGGATGGCTACAGGGCGGCTGGTCGTTGCGGCAGCTAGCACGTTGTATGAGGTCTGGCAAAAGTATGACCTGTGGTTAACCTTTGGGACAGCATGGGTTAGGGCTTAGGGTTTAGGGTTTAGGGTTTAAGGGTTTAAGGGTTTAAGGGTTTAAGGGTTTAAGGGTTTAAGGGTTTAAGGGTTTAGGGTTTAGGGTTTTAGGGTTTAGGGTTGAGGGTTTAGGGTTTAGGCGATTTAGGGTTAAGGGTTAAGGCTTTAGGGTTTACGATTTAGGGTTTAGGGTTTAATTAGGGTTTACGATTTGAGGGTTACCCCCTTAGGTTAAAGCTTGCTGCGCCTAGGCGGCCGATGGCTGCCGAAACAAAGAGAATTCCGGCTGGAGATGATTCAAAGCTCAGGATTTCGAGATTAAGTTTAGGGTTTAGGGTTTCGGAATTGGGGTTCAGAGTTTAACCGGCCCTTAACGTGAGAGTACGCTGGCAGATTCGCAGCAAAGGTGCAGGAAATCGTTGAGCTCGCCGCCCGTGGAGCAGTTCCTCAGGATGTGTCCGAGACCACAAACCCAAAAAAACTCAAAACCCTGCACCCTAAACTCAACAGACCATTAGACCCCAAAGTACATATAAGCACTTGAGGCCCCGGGGCTAGGAAATAGCGGTGGTAGCCATAGCTCAAGCAGGTATAACTACCCAAGCCCAAAAAATCCCAAAAGCCCCTAAGCCCAAACCCCATGCGTAAACCCTAAACCCCCACCAACCCCGAAATCCCCGAAAAACCCAAACCAGAAATCCTATATAATCTCTACCCAAAACACCCCCCCCCCCCAAAAAAAAAAAAAAAAAAATAATAATAATAAATAAAAATATAATAAAGTTGCCGCCCAAGCCGCACCGAGCCGATCACCGCGCGGAGGTAGAAAGTTGGCGACTTGGGAGCGCAGCCACCTCGGTTAGGGTAAGTCTGCTTGCTTCGTTTTTTTTTTTTTTTTGGGCGGGGGGGGGGGGGGGGGGATGGTTAAGGGTTTAGGGTTTAGGGTTTAGGGTTTAGGGTTTAGGGTTTAGGGTTTAGGGTTTAGGGTTTAGGGTTTAGGGTTTAGGGTTTAGGGTTTAGGCGAGGGTTTGGGGTTAGGGTTTAGGGCTGCCTTGCAATGTTTGATGCCGGCTTGCGCACCATGCTGTAGGGAGCTGACTGAGTCTAGGCTTATCTGTTCACTTCTCTCTAATATGATGGTCCCTTTTGGGGTACCCTAAATATTCGGGGCCGCCTTGACGTAGACCCTCATTTAGAGACCTGACCATCTAAGCTCAAGGTTCTAAAGCCTCTTGGGTCGAGGATCTGGGGCATCGGAGGTTCAGGAATTAGGGTTTGGGCTTTAGGGTTCGGGGTTTGGGGCTTAAACCCTAACCCCAGACCCTAGACCCTAAGCCCTCATTAGGGTTTGGGGTTTGGGGCGTCGCCCTTGGTCCCACCGCTGAGGTGACTGGAGGCCTCATGGGTCAAAAATGCAAGGCCGAGTTCATCTCCACCTTCTCTTGGCTGTCCGGTAACTAGGGTTTAGGGTTTGGGGTTTGGGGTTTAGGGTTTAGGGTTTAGGGTTTAGGGTTTAGGGTTTGGGATTCTACGGGGATTCTACCACCCCAAAATGTCAAAGGTTACCTACTCTACTACTCGGTTCCTAAACAAACACTGATCTTCGTTGCTGAGTTCATAAGCCCCCCCAAAAGTGTGGACACTTTCAGTTCTGTAGGGGATTCGAGCACCCCCCAAAAGTGTAAAGTGTACTCATTCAGCTGCTAAGTGAACTACTAAAGCACTGAGACCTCAAAAGCGGTCTGCAGTTCTGGGTTTGTGGCTTATAAGTGCTCTAAACTCTAAGCCCTAAGCCCTAAACCATAAACCCTAAACCTAAGGTTCCCTCAGGGCCTCGGATCTAAGGCTGCGTAGAAGCCATCAGGTTCACCTGGGCGCCGCACGCTCGAAGGAGTACACGTCTGCACCGGTGTGGTTGAATGTGGTGACCTGTGTCAAGCGACCCCTGTAACAGAGCCTTCGGGCCTTCGAGAGTAGAGGTGTTACATTAATCCTCAACCCTAAAGCGTGAGGCGGCTGTGGGCTTTAGGTCGCGATCTGAATTCAAGAGGCAGCTGTTAAAACAGTTTAGGGAACAGACTCTTTGGGGGGGGGGGGGGGGGTAGGGTCAAGAGATTCAGCCTCGGCTTGGGTGCACGAAGCCCTAGCACAAGATTAACCCTAACCCCTAAACCCCTAAGACCCTTGAGAAAGTGCCCTTAAGGAAGAGCAAGGTCCCGGCCCGGCCGAGGGTTTCGGGTTTTGGGAGTCATTATCCAAAGGACCCCAAAGGGGACCCGGATTTCGAGAAGATCCTGAGCCATGAAGTCTAGATCCTAAACCACACAAGCTGACCGCGGTTTAGGGTTTAGGGTTTAGGGTTTAGGATTTAGGGTTTAGGGGTACAGCGGACCCCGGCTGCGTGCGGGGAAGCTTCGAAGAAGCCATGGATGTTCGCCACCTCAGTCTCGCTGCCAGTGGCACCGCTGCTCGAGTGGCTTGGGTATTTGTTCTGAAGTCCCTGGAAATCCTAAACTCTAGACTTCCTAAACCCTAAACCCTAAACCTTAAACCCTAAACTCTATACTTCCTAAGCCAAAACCCTGTAAGCCCTAACCTATGAACCCTGAACCCTAAACCCTGTTGGGTTCCTCCTGTCGTACGGAAGCTTCTGTTCATTGCACCCCCACCACCACCCCCCCCCCCCCCCCCCCCCAAAAAAAAAAGGGGGGGGGGGGGGGGGGGGGATCCTATCATTTGGAGAGTTGGCCCTCTGTGTGCACCCAGAAGCCCAAACTCTAGGCTCTGGACCGTAAACCCTTCAACCCGAGACCCAAAGACCCTTACACCTCGGACTCTGCAGAACAGCAGGGGGAGGAGGAGGAGGAGGAAAGGAGGAGGAAGAGGAGGAGGAAGAGGAGGAAGAGGAGGAGGACGGGGGCGGGGGCGCTGGCTTATTCTTGTCTTTCTGGATTGAATACGGCTATTGTGGGGCTTTACGATTGCATGAGGCTTTGGGTTTAATGGTCTTGCACTATTTCTAAATCCCTGAAGCGCTCAAACCCTACACACCTAAAGCCTAAAACCCAAAGCTCCAAACTAATCCAAACCCTTTACCCTAAACCCTCTGAAGAATGAAGGCTAAAGCTCTAAACCCTAATTACACCCTGCAAAGCCTAAAACCTAAGGCTCTAAACCGCCAAGCGTCCAGCTCAGCGAGGAAAAGGTTCGCAACGCCATGCCAGAAAAAGGTCGGCCCAGCGACCAGGAGCCTCGAGCGTTGAGGTTTTGAGGTTTTGGGGGGTTTAGGGTTTAGGCTAAGTTTAGGGTTTAGGGTTTAGGGTTTAGGGTGTAGGGTTTAGGGTTTAGGGTTTAGGGTTTAGGGCTAAAGGGGAAAAGGTGTTGGCTGTGGAGATTAGGATCTTTTATTTGAGATTGGGTACTTTTTAGTGGAATCCTTTCTTGGTACGATTTGGGCTCCGTGTTGGAGTTCAGGGCTTAGGGTTTCAGGTTTAGGGGTGCTAGGGTTTTAGGGCTTAGGGGTTAGCTTCTGAGGCAGGGGTTTGGGATTCAGACCCCGAGCTCGACTCACATTTACGTTGCCAAGTGCGACGCGTGGCGGCAGTGGCAGCAAGAAGAAGTGCAGCAGGAGGTATGGCCCCATCCTCACGCAACTCAAAAAAACGAAGCGAATCCTAACTAAGTCTCCTTCTTTCTTGACAAGGCACAGGACCACCCGTGAAACACGGGCAAAGACTAGAGAGCAACAGGGAAGACGAACAACATCGGGTTTAGGGTTCTTGCTGGGTTCAAGATGCAGGGTTTTGGGGCCCTGAGGGCCCTTGCACCTCATTATTCTGCACCTGGGCCTATGTACCTGGGCCCTAAATTCCCTAAGCAGGAGGTACTTTCAGGCCCAAGTATTCCCTTTTTAGTTACGTGGGTGGTTGTCAAAGTCAAACTTATAATCCCTTTTGGGTGTCCTGAATATTAGGTGCCGAATTATAATAGGGACCCTAAACCCTAAACTCTAAACCCTAAACCCTAAACCCATAACTTCGACAGCCTCCCTAGCATGACGCCTGGAGCCTGGTCAGGTCCTGAACACCCTACACGCGATGGCTATTAGGGTTCGGGGTGTAGGGTTTAGGGTTTAGGGTTCCCTACACCCCAAGACGAAAATCCTGAGATCTAAGCCCGCAGGATTCCAAGCATGTAGCCCAGGAATGGACAAATTGGGGGTTTCCGAACACAGGGGTACCCTTTTTGGGGGTCGCTTTTAAGGGGATTCTATTCCATTTTGGGTGTGAAAGGGGTACCTTTATTTTTGGGAATATCGGGTCCAAATAGAGTGCACTTGCTTTTGGTTGATTGGGGCTGGAAGGGAGCCCGAATTCTGCAAGACTAATGAGAGTAGCACAGCACCACTGGAGGCCCTCTTCTACAAAATGAAGTCAGAAAACCTGCTTGGCAAGACGAGGAGATTGAAGGTACGACTCAAAAACCCGAACCCCTGAACCCTAACTCCCCAACCCGAAACAACCAACCCACAACCTTTAAACCTCAAAACCCTAAAGCCCTAGCAACCCCCAAAGCCCAAAACCCCCCCAAGCCTGAAACCGTACTGCAACCCCTGCAACCCCTGAAGCCCTGTACTTCCCTTACAACTTCTTAAGGACCTGAAAAGCCTAAACCCCTAACACTCTACATGCCAAGGCCCCTGAAAAGCCTAAACTCTGAAATCGCAACAAAAAAAACAACAGCCGCGCCTGAAACCCTAAAACCTTGAAATCCCAGAGCCCAAAACCCTAAAGCATAAACCTACGTAACCCCAAAGCACCAAAACCCTAAATTCTGAAAACCAACACCTAAACCCTGAACGCCGAAAAGTCCTAACAACCCTAAACCCTAAACCCTAAACCCTAAACCCTAAACCCTAAACCCTAAACCCTAAACCCTAAACCCTAAACCCTAAACCTTCTGAAGCCCCCCAAAAAGCCCATAAAGCCCAGCTGCACGCGGGTGATCAACTCGAAGGCCTCCGTGCTGCTGAGGCTCTTAGGATTTAAGGGTTTAGGGTTTTAGGGTTTAGGGTTTAGGATTTAAGGGTTAAGGGTTAAGGGTTTAGGGTTTAGGGTTTAGGGTTTAGGGTTTAGGGTTGTTAGGGTTTAGGGTTTAGGGTTTAGGGTTTAGGGTTTAGGGTTTAGGGTTTAGGGTTTAGGGTTTAGGGTTTAGGGTTTAAGGGTTTAAGTGTTTAGGGTTTGGGGTTTAGGGTTTAGGGTTTAAGTGTTTAGGGTTTGGGGTTTAGAGTTTAGGATTTAAGGGTTTAGGGTTTAGGGTTTGGGGTTTGGGATTTAAGGGTCTAGGGTTTGGGGTTTGGGGTTTTGGGTTTGGGATTTAGGGTTTAAGGGTTTAGGGTTTAGGGTTTGGGGTTCAGGGTTTGGGGTTTGGGGTTTAAGTTCTGTGTTTTCGGGTTTGGGATTTGGGGCTTGGGTTTAGGGTTTGGGGTTTAGGGTTTGGGGTTTAGGGCTTAGAGGTTCACATTTTTACGGCTTTGGGACTTAGGGTCTTTACCCTAAGGCTCCGAATAGCCCGAAGTAGGCATTATTTGCTGGGTTGCCCAGTAAGCTAGGATGAAAAAGGGTGCCCTTTTTTGTTTAAAGGGGTTTATAAGGGAACCTAGACCTACCAAAAAGGGAATAAGGGTACTACTGGGCATCCTAGTTTGCAGAAGTTAGACCCCAAGGTAGGTATGGTTTGTATACTTGGAGCCCTAGGATTAGGGTTACATAAGATCCAGAGATTTAGGTTTTACAGTTTCAGGTCTCAAGGCTTAGGAATAGGTCCTAGGTTGTGGGGTTTAGACTTTGTTTTTGTTTGGGCTTGAGGCTTTTAAGGCTTGAGGGTTTTGCGTATTTGAGGTTTTAGTGCTTCAGGCTTTAGGGTTTAGGGCTTCTTGTTAGTGCTCAAGAGTTTTTAGGGTTTTAGGGTTGCGGCCCTAAAGTTACCAAAGGCTTATCTATGTCCAGAAACTCAAGTTAGTCTCCCTGTAGAGCTCGCCACGTAGTACTCCTGGCGCTTCGAGCGCAGTTGCATGAAGGCTGTGGCTTGCAAACCACTGCGAAGGTCCCGCACCCCTTCGCCCTGGGACGCGTCCACCTCGCTTGGCAGTCGCCCTGCCGCGGGCGCTCATTCAACGAGGCCCCATGACACAGCTCTTGTGCGTGTAAAGCTTGGATGCTTCGGCCTGCAGGCGCTTGAAATGCAACCCTAAACTCTAACTAAACCCTAAACCCTGAAAGCCCTAAACCCTAACCCGAGAAGCGCTCTGAAACCCTCATCCCTCATTGTAGACCCCTTTTCGTGCCCTATAAACCCCTCGACCCTGGAGGTTAGGGTTTAGGGTCTAGGGTTTGGCTTAGGGTTTAGGGCTTAGAGTTCAGGGTTTAGGGCCCTACGCCGACATGCTAGCTGCCACACAGAAGGGCTAAGGGCTCAAGGAGTTTTTGGCTTTAGACTTCATGGGCTTTAGGGTTTAGGGTTTGCTCAGGGTTCTTCATCCTACGCAGCGATAGGCTAAATGCGAAGTCCTTAGACCCCAAACCTGAGCCCTGAGCAACCTCAGTCCCTAAACCCTAAACCCTAAACCCTAAACCCTAAACCCGAAACCTTATATAAACCCTAAAACCTCAGTCCCTAAACCGTAAACCCTGAACCCTAAACCCTAAACCCTAAAGCACGAGAACTTGCAGCCGGATTCAACCCACTGAGGCCCCAACCCCCATATGTAAACCAAAAGAACCCTAAACCCTAAACCCTAAACCCTCAACCCTAAACCCTCAACCCTAGCCCTTAAGCCCTAAACCCTAAGCCCTAAGCCCTAAACAAGTTCCGGGCTCCTCCTGCCAGCCAAGGGGCTGTGTACACACCCTGGCCTCAGCTGCGAAGCGTGAGCCCAGAGGGTTTGCGGTTTAGGGTTTTGGACACTCGTTCAGAGGCTGTAGGGCTTACAAGGAGGCCCCCCTCCCCCTCCCCCGGCCTAGGTATAACTACAGGATCCGAACTTAGATTATCAATCCCTCAACTGTAGTGAATATAGCAAGGGGGCCCCTCCTTGTAGGGTTGTATCCAGAAAAACATTCATGTGGGGGCTGAATATATAGAACGATGGGCCCGTTTCGGTACCCTACGCTATAGAAACTACAACAGAAGCCCAAAACAATGCCCTTAACCCCTATAATCTCCATCGGAACCCCTGTCATAACCCCTATGATAACCATGTAGTAGAACCCCTAATACCCCCATAACCCCTCTTAGCGTTGCGACCTCTGCAACCCCTATAACCCCTGTAATCCCTAAGCCCTAAAAATCCAAAAGCCCTGGCCCTTGGTTGGGGTGCAGGGCTCCAGGGGGGTTTCGGGGCTTTATGGTGTAGGGCGTAGGGGTTTAGGGTTGAGCGCTTAGGGGTTTAGGGTTTAGGGTGTAGGGCATCCCAAGTTCAACTGTTCCTGCCACATGGCAAAATTGGAGCAGGTTGAGGTTTAGGGGCTCCTTCAACTCCATTCCATTTCAGCTTCCTGGGGTTTAGGGTGCCTTGCCTAGGTTGACCCATTAAGGCCTCTGAAAGGTACCCTAAACAGGACAAGCAACCGAACCCAAAAAAAACAACCTAAACACAAGTCCCCCCCACCCGAGAGTCGCAGTCATGCGGCCTAAAGCCTCCAATCGGAAGACCTGGTAGATGGTCCTGAGTCTAAGGGCCGAGGATTCAGAGTTGAGGACTCCTAAATTTGGGGCTCAGGGTTAAGGGTTAAGGATTTTTAAGGCCAAGGGTTCAGGGTTTGAGGGTTGAGGGATTTAGGGTTTAGGGTTTGAGGGCTTCGGGTTGTGGCTGTTTAGGGCTGCAGGTTGACTGGTGGATTGAAGCCCTTGGCTTCCTTCTTGACCACATATGGTTACCGTTTAGGGTTTAGGGTTCAGGGTTCAGGCGATATACATATATATATATACATACATGCATATATACCCTCATCTTATTCATAAGACCAAGTGATATAAACCCCGTTTCATAGGTAGGGGCCCATCTAGAAAAAGTCCCGGAGCCATATTCCAAAACCATGAAATTACCCGTAGAGAGAAACCATGATAACCCCTGCACGGAAGCCCAAGTAGATCGTAATAGTTCCTCCTCCTCCTTCTCCTCCTTCTTCCCCCCTCCAAAAAATACCCCAAGAATCTCAGACTCCACCCCACCCACAAACAGAAAAAAAAACAAAACATACCCCAAGAATCTCAGACAGAATGTCATGGAGAAAGTTTGGGTTTACCCTGGTGGTGGGAGGCTGGGAGGCTTAAGGGGCCTCAAAACCCCTGGCCCCGAAACCCTACACCAGGAATCTAAAGCATTTACCTTAACTAAACCCCAAACCGAATGGTTTAATCATCCTTACACAACCACAAGATAGCCCCTGCACGGTACAGGTCCATGAAACATTCCTACTTGCTTCCCCGAACCATAAACTTTTAAACCAAACCGAAAACCCTAAAACCAAACCCTAAAACCAAAACCTAAACCTCAAACCTTCAACCCTACACCCGAAACGTCTCTTGCCCAACTCGACTCTAAGGATTCGACTCCAAGTTTTTGGGGTCTGAGTTATGGCACAATCCTGATGACATTGTGGGTCAGGGCCAGGGTCCAAAGAAGCCCCTTTAAGTGGACCAAACCACACAACCCTGAGTTGTGCTGCAGCGAAGTCTCATCGTCAGCCTTATTCATTCGCGAGCGTTCGGTTCTGAAAACGTTTTGGGGTTAAGGGCTGAGGGCATCGAAGATTCATGGTGCAGGGCCCATCCTAAATCTCAGGGTTGCCACAGAGCAACTGACGATGTTCCACACCTTGAACTTGCCGGCTGAGTTTTAAATCGGAACACGTTTAGGGTGTGGGGTTTAGGGTTAAGCGTTTAGCATTTAGGGTTTAGGGTTAAGGGTTCGGGAGAGATGGTAGCCAATTAGGCTCAAGCTTTCTGAGCGATGGTAGACGGTGGCACAATAACGACTGTTTAAGCAGGGTCCCCTGTTTCGCTTGGCTAGTTCTGGACAGAACTCGAAACCAAGTTTTTGTTACGGGGTGGTTTCGATACTTGCCCCTTTGTACCTTTTACCCTTTTTGTATTCTTCAGGGTTCGCAGCACAAGCCAAACCCGCTTCCCTGGACCCTATACCCCCTAAACCTCCTAAATCACCCTGAAAAGAACTTAATCCCTGTTCCCCTAGGAAGAAAAAAGGATCCTTTTTGTTCATCTCTAAGAAAGCCCATAACCCAAAAAAAGCAAAAAGGATCCCTAACACTGATCTAGAAAAGGCCATCTGAGGATCGTCGGGTCGAAGCCCTCTGGGAGGGGCTGCTGACGGCGCCGGCGCTCTGCCAGCTTCAGGGCTTTGAAGGTGTTCCTGGGGGGTTTAAGGGTTTATGGCATGGGTTTAGGTGTTGAGGGGTTTGGGGTCTACTGAAAGGTTGAGAGCTTCGGGATTAGGGTTAAGGCATAGGGTTAAGGAGGTTTAAGGGTTCTGCAGGTGAGTGGTGAGTGGGTGAGTGGGGTGAGTCTCTCTGTGCCTCTCTCTCTCTCTCTCTCTCTCTGTGCCTCTCTCTCACTCACTCTCTCTCTCTCTCTCTCTGTGCCTCTCTCTCACTCTCTCACTCTCTCTCACTCTCTCTCTCTCTCACTCTCTCTCCCTCTCTCTCTCGCTCGCTCGTTCGCTCGCTCGCTTTCGTTCTCTGTGTCTCTTGCTTTCTCTGTTTCTCCCTCGCACTCCCTAAACCCTAAACCCTAAACCCTAAACCCTAAACCCTAAACCCTAAACCCTGAACCCTAAACCCCAAAAGAAGCTCCCTGCTTTCAGGCTCTTTGTCGGGGTGCAGGCCGGGCGGGCTTAGGGTTTCAGAGGTTCTGCTAGCCCTAAACCCTAAACCCTAAACCCTAAGCCCAAAACCCTAAACCCTAACCCATAAACCCTAAACTCGAGTAGGGTTCGGGTCTGAAGGCTCCGGTTGTGGAAACTTTGCAGGGCTTCGGGATTTCAGGACCCCTTTTGTTGGTGGAAAGAACGGAGGGTTTAGGGTTGAGGGTTTGGGGTCTAGGGTTTCGGGGGTTTAGAGTTAGGGTTTAGGACTACTTACTTGTTCATGTTCTTGATTATTGGGCGGTGCGGGCGCAGGCAGGTGCGAGGGTGTGGATAGCTCAGACCCTTTGACTTCGCCCGGGCACGGTGCAGCAAAGGCCCACTTGAAGAACAGCATGGAGAGCCCCGTCATGAACTCCTGAGAAACAAGACTGCCAGAACATATTCTCTTGCTCTTACCAGTAATGGTACGAGTAGAGCTGCAAAGAAAGCAACAGCACGAAAACATCACCCCAACCCCTTCTTAGTATAGGATGCGGCGGGGCTCAGGACAAGGGAAGAATTCCCGAGACCTAAACGCGCCTCGACCATGCCTAAAACCAGTTTAACACCGGTCTGGGTTGTGCCAGACTCAATCTTAGAAGGAGATAACGAGTCAGAAAAATAATAAACAAGAAAGAGAGAGAGGGAGAGAGAGAGAGAAGCGATAGACAGAGAGACAGGGTAGAAGCTGTAAGGTTTAAGATAGTTACCCCGATGGCTTTAAGTTTAGGGTTTAGGGTTTAGGGTTAGGGCATTAGTTTCAAGTTTTGGGCTCGAGGCTGAAGGGCTCAGGGCCTAGCAGCTCAGGGTTGTACTGTGGATTGATAAGGGATCTCGTTCCCCTAAACCCTCAACCCTCAACCCTCAACCCTCAACCCTCAACCCTAAACCCTAAACACTAGACCCGAGACCCTAAACCCCCTACCTTCACTCAAAAGCCCACCCCCCGCCCCCCCCCCCAGGATCCCATGAAATAACAAAAGGATGGGCCAAGTTTCGCGATTCAGCTTCCAAGTGTCCGTGTACTTCTCGAAGAAGTCCTGCGAGAACTTCAGGTGAGGGGGGGGGGGGGGGGAAACTGTCAAGCTACACCCTGACAGCCCGAAACCCTACTAAACCCTAAACCCTAAACCCTAAACCCTAAACCCTAGACCCTAGACCCTAGACCCTAAACCCTAAACCCTAAACAACCCTAAACCTCTCTGGGGCTAGTCCAGGGGTGTCTGGGTTCGGCTGTGGAGATTTCAGTTGAGAAGAATTTCCCAAGTCCGTGGTTCTTCCCTCTTCTGCCCCAAAGCAGGTTTACAGGGCCTTTAGGGTTCAAAGGGTTGGTTTAGAGTTTAGGGTTTGGGGTTTAGGGTTTAGGGTTTAAGGTTTAGGGTTTAGGGTTTAGCGAGTAGGGCCGGAGGGATTCTAGTGCTACAAGGGACAGGGGGTGAACTTCCTTTGAAGGTTAGTGGGAAGAGGCTGCCACTGAAAGAACAGCATTGTGAAAGCCTCCGCAGGCTGCTTGAACAAAGGGATCCTTCGGGTTTAGGGTTTAGGGTTTAGGGTTTAGGGTTTAGGGTTTAGGGGTTAGGGTTTAGGGTTTAGGGTTTAGGGTGTCCGCCTTCGGAAGCCCCATGCTTTCTAGTAGGACTCTGCTTTTTAAAAAAGGGATCTTCTTAAGAGGGACCCCAGTCGAGACGAACAAAACGTTTCCACCCAGAGGTTGAAGTACCCCTTAGCCAAGGGACACATCTTGACGTTTACCTTTCGGGTTTAGGGTTTAGGGTTTAGGGCTTAGGGTTTAGGGTTAATTACGGGCTATTCCTTCAGGATACCGAAGCCCTCAAGCCGCTATACGCACCCTACAAGGAGGGGGCCCCTTACTATGCTAACTATCGTTAAGCGACTTAGAACCTAGGTTCGGATCCTTATAACCCACTTTAGGGCCCTTATAACTCTGCTTTTACCTAAGCGGGTCACCTCCTTGTAAGCATAAACGCACTTACCCTAACGATCAATGTACCTATCGAATATATACATGGCCCCTAAAGCTACCTTAAAGGAACATCCCTTTGAGGCCCCAGTGTATACTATATAGGTACATGGACCCTTCGGGAAACCCTAAACCCTACACCCTAAACCCTAAACCCAATACACTATAAACCCTAAACCCAATACACTATAAACCCTAGGATCCTTAAGGTGAGCAACTCCCCGAGTCCGGATCCGCGGGCTCGTTCACGCGGTAGTGGTGAATCTGGTTATGGTAAGCACTCCAGGCCTCCACGCGAGTTGAAGGTCTGTGGGGCTTACGTTGACAAATTGGGATGCTTAGGGTTTAGGGTGTAGGGTTTAGGGTTTTGGGTTTATTTGCTAAGAACCCCCCGCCCGGCTCCGCCCCCCCTCCGCCCCCCCCCCCCCCCCAAAAAAAGAACTTGAAAGACAACAATCCCCATATTATCCTTTTAAGATCATATGGAGGGGAATTTTCATTCTTTTGTGGGCTTAGAAGCTTGAAAGGGCATATTCAGGCTTGAACAGGTTTCTGGGTATAAGTTTTACGCAGGCGAGATGCGGCTTATGATCGGCCTTTTGCAAGGTTTTTTGGTTTTTTATTCATGGGGTTTTTCGTGGGGGTGGTAGTGTAGGGTTTAGAACGTCTAGTCTAGAAGGGTGGTGAGAAATGAGGCATCAACGCACCAGGCCTCAACTTTCACAGGGGGGGGGGGGCTTTAGGCAGGCTGTGGGTGTCAAGGTTTATGATAGAAGGGTTTAGGGTGAGGGCTGAGGGTTGATGTAGGGGCTTGTAGGCACAAGGACCAACCCCATTTGTTGATAGCCGCGACGTGTGCCCACGTGGCTTGCAACGGGGTTACACCCTAACACCCTAAACCCTGCAGCCTAATCTCTAAACCCTATAAACCCTCAACCCTAAACCCTAAGGGTGACTGCAGGGCACTCTTTTACATCATCGGGCGACTCAATGGAAGTTGAAACTTAGAAACCCCAAACCTTACACCCCTTAATCCTAAACCCTAAACCCTAAACCCTAAACCCCTAACCCCGAAACCCCTACAACACCTCCGAGTCTTGTTCAATCTCCGGGGGTAGAAACCCCTCGGGTCCCTGGGCATTTCAGTTCCCTCACCCAGCTTCTCCCTGTGTCTCGACGGACTCCAAGGTTGGGTTCGAGGATTAGGGTTTAGGGTTTAGGGATTAGGGTTTAGGGTTTAGGGTTTAGGGTTTAGGGAGGTTCTAGGTTCAGGTCAAGGCTACGGCTTTGAGTGTTTGTGGAATGTAAGATTTCTGTTCGCAATGACAATCCGACATCCTGGCCTCTGGCAGCATCCAGTCGAACCTTGTCTCTGGCAATCTGTCTTCCGCTAAGACGACCCCATGTCTCAGAGACTTTGTTTGCTCCAGTGAAAAGTTTGCAGCGCGCAGTACATTCCCTAACAATGATGGTTTGGGATGTTCTTCCTCGTACTCACGGTCCTGAGCGATTATCGTACCCCTTTTTCTCATCCCTCTTTTAATCCCTATTAAGGATTGTTTGCATAATTAAGGGGGAACATGATGGTGCAAAATAAGGTCTCTAATCTATGTGAGCCCCAGAAAGGGGGGTTGATCTAAATTATCAAAAAAACACCCCCTCCCACTGAGGATCCACAAAAACAAAAAAACCCACATAGTGGACGTGCAGCTTGAACATTCATAGGCCACCCCAATCTGGGATGTTGTGCTGACTGCACACTTGAGAACCTGGTAACTACTTATGAAAACAGTTTAAGTTTTGCTTTGATGTAGTTCCGTGGGCGCCCCAAGTGCTGACTTTGACTTGGGCGTAGACAACGAAGCCCACTTTCGCGACGTGCCCCAAATCCTTGCCTGGGGAATGTGCCGTGCAGCCAGACATCTTGTGCGCTCATGTATCCATTGGAACGTGGCGGGGCGGGACCTGAAAGCCCGACTGAAACCGGCGCGGCGCATCTCCCTCAGGCAGCAAACCCGGCTGCCACACATGCGGTCCTTGCACGCAGGCAGGACATAAGACGCTAAGGTGCCACCGAGAGGTGCAGGGCCTGGACGTCACTTCAGCAATGCGGACGTCCACAGATTGGGCAGGCAGGCATGAGAGAGCTTGTGCGCCAGACACAAGGGGGGACCTGTTGAAGTGCTGCTGCGTGCAACACGCAGGGCCAATGACGGTGCTCTAGCACGAGAGTGGAAATGGCATTCCGCTGCGCGAAAAACATAAGGGGTGATATCACTTAGGGCATGGTCTAGGTCTTCATGCGTCGCAATTTTGTGAGAGCCCCGGCCAACCCTCAAGCAACTTTTCCTTGCGAGTAAAGTTGCTGACCAAACGATTGCAGATCTAAAAACATAGATAGATAGATAGACATACACACACACACATACACTTACAGAAGTACCACACGAGAGCAGTGTGTGCGAGCATTGATGCTATGTGCACGTTTTGCATGAATGAGATGCGTACTCAGCACTGCTTTCTCACGACACCCTTCATGCACTCTGCCACCAGCTTACCGGTACACAGCCAGAGATCGTCTTTCCTGCGCCAATACTCGTACTCGGCACTACAAATTTGGGCCGTAAGCATGGTGGAGCTTTGCCTTGACAGAATTGTTCCGCCAAAGTCGCTCCTTTATGCAGCGCCAGGCTCTGTGTACGAACTGAGTCCCTGCTTTTGTCTTGACTCGGCGTCCACTCAGAGTGGATACCTTGACATAAGCAGGCATATCCCGAATGAAGTTGCCACCCCGCTTCACTTGCTTCTTCTTGTGAGTGACAGCGTCATGAACGACGCCAGGAATCTTCATGTGGTAGGATCGCGCGGAATCTGAACAGAATACGACCGAGCGATTTTTCAGCCACGGTTCTGCCAAAGGTTTCCAGTCAACTTTGCGCATAGCGCCTGGACCTGGGGCGCTGGGCATGATTGCCAGATTTATTTGTGAGCCCCAAGTTGCGCGGAGACCCTCTTTGGATCAAGCCGCCCCCGCTGTTCCCACTGCGCGTTCTTACTTTCGTAACCTGGCACTCCTGCAACGTCTTGTCAACGGTGGCCTCATCTACCTCGACATCTTCCCAACTCTTGGGATTGCCTCCAAAGCATATGGATTTTCGGCTTACGTAGGCTTGGTAGGCATCATATCATACTATATAACAGAGATATCAGAGATGTCCGAGAAAACAGAACACTAAACAAGACATATGTACTGCAACACCCCGCCTATGCGGCAGTAAAGACGCCGTAGAGGAGCTAGTGGCAGGTGGTGCGACTAAGCGTGTGTGCCTGCGAGCCTCTAAAGAAAAAGTGCGCATACCTCACTGCGCACGCAGGTAACTCTTCGCATACGTGTAACTGTAAAACTAAAGACCAAAACCAACATGTTGCTTTGGCGTCGCAGAAGCTGCCAGCCTCTCTGGGAAGATCATGCCCCCGATGGGCTGGGAGATGGTGGAGTAGTAGTTTAGGACGATGCTGGCGCTTTCGCATCTGCTCGCTCACTGCGCAGGCCGCGGACAACAGAAGAAGATGACCGCCGCGAGCTGGCAATTGTTTTCGAACTGGCCGGAGGTGTGAGCTGCTGCGGCGGCGCTTGAACATCTTCGAAAATAACCACGCAACCTGTCTTGCTTGGTGCCAAGTTGAATGCGGATTTCATCTTGCGGGCGTAATTGTTGCACTCCTCTGGAGACATTATTCGCAGCACCAAGGGAATGGCAAGGGACTGCGCAGTTATCAAAATATTGCACGCGTGAGAAGCCATGTTCACTCACAGGTTCCAATAACCCAAAGGGTCCTATGTACCTACATGGTACAAAGTAAGGTTTGTGTAATAGGAATTACCATTATGGTTCGGGTAACTTGGCCCCCATATTATAGGGACTTAGGACCATTTGGGTAAAGCGATTCTGTCCGCAGTATGGCGATGGTGGGTAGGAGCTGCTTAAGCGGGCATGAGAGCTGGGTCACGCACACTGTGCGCGGCCTCAGTCCCGGCTGGAACTGGCGCCCCCTGTCCTCGTCAGGCTTGCTTCACCGTCTGCGTCCTACACACTTCCTTGACTCCGAGGGTGCCACGGGCGCCAGTCGGGATCATCGTCGTCGTCGTGCAACGACCGCCCTTGCCAGCAGAGCTGCCTCCGGCTCAGCTTTCTGCAGAGAAGACAGGAGAGGAAGGAAAACATGTAAGACAAGCATCACGACGCTGTTGTTGCAGCCTCTGCGTCTGTCGTGGCACACGACGCCGACGCGGTCGCCTCCGGACACCAGGTCATACTGGACTCCGGCTAAGTGGTTCAAAGCGTCCTCGACTGCCGGTGATGGTGCGTCGTCATCCTGTCCAGCGAGGTGACTCCAGCTTTCACCCGTCAGTCGTCCTGTCCTGGCTGCCTCGAAGAGGCAGCTTAGGTCGAAGGAGTCCTAGTCGCTGGGAATGCTGCGCTGGGCTCCGACCCTGACTTTCAAAGACGCAACACTTTCGGTCCTCGCTGGGCCCATAGGATTGCTAATTGCGAACCACAAGGGCCAAGGCGGAAGATGCGGCGCAAACTCCGAGCCTGCGGGGGCAAACAAGTCGATGTTTGTAGCTGGCTGACTATGGTGAGCATCCAAGTGCATCTCGGCCTCGCCGCTTGGCAGCACCGCGTGTGCCCGACCTGGAAGTCGCTCTGCACTACTGTCAGCCAAGTGCTTGACCAGGGCGTTGAAGATGAAGGAACAAAACCTACATCCCTGCGCGATGCCCGCAGTGAGGTGGAATGTTTGACAGAACAAAGAAAGAGGTCAATCACGGAGCCAGGCTCATGGGTGGGTCCTGGAGGAAAGCAAAAGTGAAAATTGGAGTCAAGAACTAAATCTTCAGTTTGCCGGTCGGTGCGAGATTGACTGCAATGAAGGCAGCGAGCTTCGTGTTGGACAGCGTCATGGAAATGCGTGTTGCCATCACCAAGGGCTGCTAATAACCGGCACATGATCAAGAATGTCCCCCCCCTTGACCGGCATGAAACCCACAATCATGGGAGAATGAGAGTTGTCTTGCTCGTGGGCTATTCTGCTGCAAGACCGCTTTTCATTTAGCGGAGCAGCAAAGGATAGTGTGCTGACCCTGGTGGTGCTCCCGATGCTGGGAGAAGAAGGACACAGTCCATGCTCGTGTACCTTTCCCGATTTTGGCAGGCTGCTTCCTAGCAATCATAAAGCCAAAAAAATCTGACTCGACAGCATAGACTTCAGCCCTCAACCCTAATGAGCCTAGAAAGCAAACAGTTCTTGGTCGTGCAAAGCATCATTATGCAAAAAAGGACTTTCAACAAAGCCTTACTCAAACGAACAAATGGCAGGCACAGGCCCATAAGATGTTGAAAGGATGTTCAGGGTTTGAGGGTTCCGGGTTGAGGGTTGAGGGTTCAGGCTTTTAGGGCTCCCGGTTCGGCTCGGGGTGGTCGTGGGATGGCTTGGGGTGGCCTGTCTTCACCCTGCTGCATTCAGCTGACCAACTCTACACCTTAAACCCTAAATCTTAAGCTGCAAGCCGTAAACGTTAAAGCCCAAACCCAAAACTGTAGGCTGTTAACTTTAACCCTCAACCCTAAACCGTATAAGCTCTAAACTTAAAACCCTAAACCCTAACTCTGTACCTCAATTTCCAAGCGCCCCAAACCCTGAACCTGCGGCCCTTCACAACCTTAGTCGCTGAGTTCATACGCCCCCAAAACGTGTACACTTTCAATTCTATAAGGGGGCTATAGTATCCCACAAAGTGTAAAGTGTACTCATTCAGCTACTTGTATAAGACGGCCACCCTTAATATAAGGACCTCTTAAGAAGAGACCACGATTTAGAGAACTGCCCACGTTAGGGTTTAGGGATTAGAGTTTGGCACAGCGGGCCCAAGCGACGAGATCATTTCGGGCTTAGCCGGCTTTGCCTTAAGCCCTCACCCTAAACCCTAAACCATAAACCCTAAAACCTGAACCCGAAACCCTAAACCCTAAACCCTAAACCCTGAAGCCTAAGCCGCTTCTACAAGGAGAGTGGTCGACCGTGCACATTGCTCCCAGGCCCCTGGGGAATCCAGAACGTAGCTCCTAAACCCTAAACCCTAAACCTTTACGTTTACCCTAAACCCTAAACCCTAAACCCTAAACCCTAAACCCTAAACCCTAAACCCTAAACCCTAAACCCTAAACCCTAAACCCATTGTATGCGACCCTGGGAGCCAGTCGACCATGCGTCGCCACAAGCTGCCCACGGCAAAGTTCCGGCTGGAGTACTGGCCGGTGCCATCTATCCGGTTGTAGCCTGTGCAGATTATCTACCGAACAAAAAAAGGGAACGCAGACAGAGAGAGAGAGAGAGAGAGAGAGCGAGAGAGAGAGAGAGAGAGAGAGCGAGAGACAGAGAGAGAGCGAGAGACAGAGAGAGAGAGAGAGGCAGACACGCACAGAGACTCGCACGAGCGACGGACCGAGAGAAGCGCACAGAGAGAAAAGCACAGAGAGAGTCCCACAGCTATGCATGGGTTTAGGGCTTTATGTTTTGGGTTCAGGGCCAATGGAAGAGAGCCTCCATGGATCACATGGTGACCAACCATTGTCCAGCGGCTGTGCGTCCTGGGTTTAGGGTTTGGGTTGTAGGGGGGCAGGGTTCGGGATTCCCACGTCGTAGGCCTTAAAGGCCACTGAGGGGTGCTATAAGGGTTCAGGGCTGAGGCGTTACTAGCCCATGTTCTAGTACCAGGCATCCTTTTCTGGGTTCTTGCGGAGCTTAAAATAAGCTATTATAGTAGGGGGCACCATGCCGGTTGCGAAATACTAACTTCAGTTCCTTGACAAAACCCCGTGCCACCGAGTCTTGTGCCACTGCGGTTGTCGTTGCTTCTGACGCCGCGAGCGTGGCTTCGTACTGCATCATAATTAGTGCTGGGATGACCTCCACAATCGAAGACCCACGAGCCCAGCACACGCGAGTAGGGGCCAGCTTTGACGGCATCGAGTGCAGGTCAGTAGACGCGCCTAGCAAGTCTGGGTCCCGCTCGCAAACGTCGAGTTTACTGCTGCAGCAGCGATGGTCTCCGACAGCCGCACCATCACCCGGCGGCAACTCACCAGCTTGCCTTCAGGTTCGTGTTGTGGGGACTTGGGTTTCAGGATTTATGGTTTAGGGGTTTCCTTGAGCTACCCGCTTACACCCAAAACAAGGACCAAGCCTTATCTGAGAATCACCCCAACCCGATAGACCCTGAAACCTGAACCCTGAACCCTAAACCCTAAACCCTGAACCCTGACATGTGACATGGGTTGAATTGCCCATCCAACCGGAATATGTGCGGAGTCAGATACCTTGTGTTTAGGGGCTTTAACTGAGAGCTGAGGGCTCAGCATTTAGTTGAGGTTGTTGGCGTTTAATTAGGGCTTAGCTCAGGGTTCTGTTTAGGGATGTGGAGGGTTTGCAGGGTTCACAAAACCCTAAACCCTAAACCCTAATCCCTAAACCTTAAACCCTAAACCCTAAACCCTACACCCTACACCCTACACCCTAAACCCTAAACCCTAAACCCTACACCCTACACCCTAAACCCTAGCATGGAGGGCTCCTGGGGGTCGGTGTAGGGTTTCCTTCAGGCTTGCAAGGTTCAAAGGGCTTAGTGTAGGCTCCAGGTTACCGCCGAGGGGGCCCTAAACCCTAAACCCTAAACCCTAAACCCTAAACCCTAAACCCTAAACCCTAAACCCTAAACCCTAAGCCCTAAACCCTAAACCCTAAACCCAAATCGCAAAGTTTATGGGGTTTCTAGGGACTTGTAGCAGTTCATAGTACGTAGAACTGAAATGCCGAGCCCTTGCACAAAACTTCACTCGGTCCGATAAGGTCCTTCAGTCGCCAACCCCAAACCCTACGAACTCCGGTTTGGGTTCAGGGTTTAGGGTTTGGGGTTTAGGGTTTAGGGTGTAAGGTTCAGGGTTTAGGGTTTAGAGTTTATGGAATCCTGAAGCCTACGTGGCATGAACCCCCTGCCAGGGCTTAGGGCGCAAGATTTCCTAGCCGCAGACTGCCGCCTGCAGAACTGGCATGTATTTGGAGGTTCATGGTACTTATTAACAGGGCTTAGGGTTTCGGGTTTAGGGTTTAGGGCTACCTGGTGGTTCATGGTACTCATTAACCAATGATAACTGTACTTACAACCCACTTATAAGCCCCCTAAGTGCCCGAATATGGCTAGAAGTACAGTTCTAAGTACGGTTATAATTGGTTAATAAGTACCATGAACCTCCAGGTAGGGCTTACCCTAAGGGTCCATGTGCCTTGTTATCATGTACTTGGGCCCTACAGTCCCTAAATAGGAGGTTCAGGGTTTAGGGTTTAGGGTTTAGTGTTGAGGGTTTAGGGTTTAGGGCTTGGGCCCCACAGTCCCTAAATAGGGGGCACTCTAGGGCCCAAGCTTTTGCTATTTGGGTACATAGACCCATAGGGTGAGGGTTGAAGGCTTTTAGGTTGCCGGGTTTAGCGGTTACGGCTTCGGGCTTCAGGAATTCAGAGTTTAAAGGTTCCGGCTTTAGGGCTACCACATTAAGAGACTCGGTGAACCCAAATGCCTAAGGATGCAAGTCTCCAGAGAAAAAAAACACAGTTGAGAGAGGGAGCGCGAGCGCGAGAGATGGGAGGACTAAACCGAAACCCGAAACCCTAAGAGTGGAGGGCATCTGCTTCGGACTAAACCGAAACCCCTCTCCCTATGAGAGGCGGGATCTGCTTAGAAAGTGCTCTTGCAAGGACCCATACTTGGAGGTTCACGGTCGACCAGGAGCGCTTCCGCCCCAAAAAGGGCCCTGAACAATACAGTACCCCAAGGAAGTACAGCCTAAACCCTAAACCCTAAACCCTAAACCCTAAACCCTAAACCCTAAACCCTAAACCCTAAACCCTGAACCCTGAACCCTAAACCCTAAACCCTGAACCCGAGACCCTCTTTCACTGCTGTGCCAGAATCCAGAGGCTCAGGGCGAGGATGGTGATTGGATTTGGAGCCAACCACATCCTGACTCTGATGTCTTTCAGTTCGGGGTTAGGGTTTAGGGTTTAGGGTTTAGGGTTTAGGGTTTAGGGTTTTAGGGTTTTAGGGTTTTAGGGTTTTAGGGTTTAGGGTTTTAGGGTTTTAGGGTTTTAGGGTTTTAGGGTTTTAGGGTTTTAGGGTTTTAGGGTTTTAGGGTTTTAGGGTTTAGGGTTTAGGGTTTAGGGTTTAGGGTTTAGGGGTTAGGGTGCGCAGGCTTACCCTAGGGCCTGGTTGACGCTTGTGGGCTGTAGGCCCCTTGTTGCTGGCTATGCAGGTTCTATGAACCCTCAAGTCGGACATGTGGGGTTTAGGGTTTAGGGTTTAGGGAGTAGGGTTTAGGGTTTAGGGTTTAGGTTTCGGGTGCAGGCCACGTATGGACCAAAATGCACCTAAGTGCCATGCATCCAAGTGTATTCAACACAGAGGCCCTGGCAGAACCGCCACTTGCACAAGAAGCTTTAGGATTCAGCAGGGGTCTCGACGCCAGGAAAACACGCAACAAACAGCCAGAAGACGCCCCTTTTTTTTCCACAGCTTTGTTCCTAAGAGCCAGCACGAAATCAGTACAAGAAATGTGTGTATATATACACACACTCTATACACGCATAGTGTGTTTGTATGTATGTATGTATGTATGTATGTATGTATGTATATATATATATGTAGCATGGGGTGTTACCGGTTTCCTAAGCCCTAAACCCTAAACTGCCCTAAACCCCTACACCTCTAAACCCTAAACTATCGGCTTCACAGGGGTTTATAGAATGGAGTGCAGGCTTGCCCCTGACCGCAGACAGGGCACGAGCCCAGGCCTATCACCGCGAGGACGTCGCTCCACAACCTCATTGCAGTGGTGCTCGGGAGAAGTTGCGGACCCTAAACCCTAAACCCTAAGCCCTAAACCCTACGCCCTAAGCCCTAAACCCTAAACCTTAAACCCTAAACCCTGAACCCTAAGCGCTAAACCCTAAACCCTCGTCCTCACTGACCCTGTGACACTGTGGATGGGTAGTGCTCCAAGTCTAAGATGGACTTTAAGAGCGCGCCCAGGGATGGGGCTTGGGGTTTAAGGTTTAGGGTTTTAGGGTTTATGTAGGGTTTTAGGGCTTAGGTGATCTACGTATATATGTATATATATATATATATATATACGTTGATATACGTTGTACATATGTACACATATGGTCAGTTCTCTACGTCATGGTCCTTTTTTGAGGTAACCTAAGTAAAAAGGGCCGCCGTAAATGAAGGACCCATTTTTGGAGAAGTGAGCATATGTAGTTATATGCTCACTTTGCCTACAACACCCCTAAACCCTGAACCCTAAATCCTAAAGCCTCAACCTCAACCCCCTAAAACACCGGACCGAAATCTCGCCGCTTCTCCGGGTTGCTTCGGGTTGAGGAGAGGGTTTAGGGTTTAGGCTTTAGGGTTTAGGGATTCGGGTTTAGGGTCTAGTTTTAGGGAGCATTGAGCGCGTAGAGTGCGTTCCCTTAGTGGCGTTGAGTGAAATCGGGCAACTCGGTACAAGGCTTAACCTAGCGGATCTTCTTCTAAGTAACCTAGTTAACGATATTACAAGAAGGGTTCGTACCCTTCTTTGGGTTGGTTACTCTATGAAGAACCTGGAGCTCAACAAAAAGGAAAAAGGGTACGACTGTGCTACCAAGTCTTTCGGAATATGGTTCCAGGGGTCCCGAGTGCCTACCAAGTAAGCAAATGATCTGTGCACAAGCGTATATGACCCTGCACTCTGCACACCAGAACATAGCTGTAACCCAATAAACCCACATGAGAGGGGTTCCTTCTGATGATGTCCCTTTGCATTACCTGGAAAACGGTTGTTTTTCTTCCGCTGCAGGTAAGGTAAGGTTTTGAATCCCCCACCCCACCCAAACCCACCTTGGGCCGTGATGTTGACCGCTCTTGGCTCTCGCTCTCGCTCTCGCTCTCTCTCTCTCTCTCTCTCTCTCTCTCTCTCTCTCTCCCTCCCTCTCTATCTACACACGCATGAAATAGCATAAATCTTACAAACATATATTTATATATATATATAGAGATACACATGTACATGTGCATGTACATGTATGTGCATTTGTATATGTATGTGTATATGTATATGTATATGTATCTGTATATGTATATGTATCTGTATATGTATGTATATATGTATATATGTATGAGGCATATATTCATATATGTATGTGTATATTTGCATAGGCGAGTGGCTGTTTGGAAACAACAAGGCCCTGAACCCTTCTCCGTCGAGGGGCACGACGCGGCGAAGGTGACGCATGTCCTCGGGGCCCTGTCCGGGAAGTTCGCAAACCCTCAACCCTCAACCCTAAACCCTGAACCCTTTTGCTTGTTTCTCATGGGTTTGGGGATTACAGGGTTTGGGGTTTACGGGTCTTACTACTGCACTGAAAGAGGAACTCTTCCCTGTTTCGCAAGGCTTCGGCTCAAAATAGCCCAAACCCTGATGATAAGAAGGCTTTTTGGGCCCCAAAAATATGAAAGTCCTCAGCCCTTATACATAT